AATTTAAATTTAATGTAAATGTAAATAACAAAACTACATTGAAATTTTAAAACAAGCCCCAAATCAAGTACATAAGTAACACAAATAAAAGGAATCTCTTCATATAAACAAAATAAGGCTTTGTCTGTGCTCTTTCCCTTTAAAATTAGAGGCTAACACTGCATTTTAATCATGATCGAAACAAAGATGCTGCATACATGCAACATGAGCAGTTTTTAATCTAAATTAGATTGTATAATTTCGAAATTTGAAGCAAAAACAGAATGATTTGACAGTTTTGTGAAACTATACGTAAAAAATAATAAAAATATCTGCATGAAACAGCGGAGCTGAATGAGACGCAGATTCACTCTCTGCCAGCAGGTGGCGCTTAAAGCATTTCCTTGGTTTCTGCTGTAAACAAAGCAGCGCTGAACTTATGAACTTTAATATGCATTATACAGAGGCAAGATGAAAAGAAAAAATACCATCTAAACTTTTCTAAAGACAGTAAGTTCCCCTCAGACATGGATTCATATAAACTCCTACCTCTAAATGAATCGCGATTTGTTTAGCATCTCAACCGATTTGAATCGTCACATATTTGAATCGATTTTCAACCGGCTCGCAGTTAATCGTTACATCCCTAGTCAACATACATTGAAATGTTGTTTAATTAGTGGTTTAGCACTTTAGTCAGGCTTAAATGTGAGGTAGTGATCATCTTCAGTTAGAAAGTCTACCCACAAACCTCCAGTCTGTCAGATCTGCCCACACTTCAAGACGTTGATACGAATATCGAGTTAGCTACCATCCCCACTACTCACTGTGATTTAACATCAGCTCCCACAGATAGTGTGGTAGGAGCGGGTTCCTGGACTCATACAACATTAACAGGCAGTGGTGTTCAGGTTCTACCGGAGGCACCAGGAATATATGTAAACTGATATGTGAGACTGTTATTGTCTTACAACTATGACTATAAATCCAAAATTATTTGTGTAACATTGTAGCAACACAAACAATCTAGATTTTCTTACAAACCATGTCCACTTGCTCCTCAAGCTAATTTAACTACACAAGACATTCTGGGGCTACTTCTCAGCTTGCGTCACTTTTGCACACTGTATTTCAGCATAAAAAAGTGTCTTATTCACTAATCACCTGCAATCACTGCCATTCTTTTCAACCCAAACACACCTGCTTTTTCTGTAATTTTTGATTGTGGGATTAATTCATCAAATGATGATGAAACAATCGCATAATGGTATGCAACCAAGAACACTTTTTACATTTTAGAAAGCCAATTCAGGTGTTTGTATCGCAGTGGTGGAGAGATTCTGTAAGGTGCCAGTAAAAGTACAGCATATTGCAGTAGTCTGCTGCATCCTCCACAACTGAGCACTCACTCAATATTTTGTCACATTTTCCTCTTCACCTGATTTGCATAACTGCTTTTGTGAATTGCTTAGCGCCAAAATGGTGCAAGGATCAATTCATTCCAATCACAATGCACCAGAAAACTCACTAATGATGGAGACAGCCTCACTATTTAGATATATCAGACACAGCTCACTCAATGAAGCAAACCTGTTTACGTATACTGTTGCCAACATCTGTTTCTCATCAACCATTTTTTTTAAAGATTACAGAAATGTTTAAACAAACTTCATGGAAAGATTTCAACAGCAATATTTTTGTTACTGACTGAACAGGAAATGTGCACTGTCACATCTCTGGACAAGAACATCCATAGGTTGGATTGATAGAAGAACATTCTCAAAAATGTCCTCCAGGCACAGAGTCACAGATTAGTCTACGAAGGATTGTGATTTATTTATTTTTTTTGGTCAAATTGTATTTCTTCCTTCTGCTTTGCACTTCTGTAGTTTCCTCATTCATCTCCCTTGTCAAAATGACATGTTGACTTGCATGGGTCAAAGTGATACATGAATTTTCCACTTTTCCAGTCCTCTGACAGTGAAAGGTTGGTCGCTTTCTCAGTATCAGTCCAGCTATTTGGATTCTCCGACTGGTCGAAATGGAGCAGAAATGATCTCATAAAGAATGAAAATGATTAATGTCCCATGTTCCTGTGTGCCTTTCCCCAAATTCAATCACAATAACTTGGATTACGGAACCGATAACATAATTTATTTTCTCAATATCTTCATGCAGTGATGTATTATTTCTGGGAAGGGAGATTTGTCTTTGTACACTTCTTGGAATATCCCAGACAGCCTCCCTCATTCTGTATTAAATTAGCCAATGGTGTAAGGTTGGAAATGCTTCTTCTCTCGAACTCTGCTACAGGGTGATTACATATTAGTAAACTGAGTGGATTTACAGTGGATCTTTCTATTGATGCATGTTAATTGTATTAAAAGTGAGACTCAAAAGACTGAGGAACCCACCCCCTTAGGAAGTCATTTAGCTCTTCTTTGTTGTTAAGTCTAGTGTCTCGATTGTCTGTGGTGGTTAATACACTAGGAGGAGGCAGGAACAAGGCTATGGTTTTAATCTCAGTTGGTGGCAGCTCCATCAGTGCTTGAAGGTGGTGCACTGTCATTGGGGGCAGCCGAGTCTAGACCTCCACTGGAGATGAGCTCAGGAGTTTTAACTGAGCTTTTCCCAGTATCAGGGGTTTTGGGAGGGGTTGTGCCCTTCACATCCAGCCCAGGAGATATGGGTGCACTCGGCTCTGACTCGATGTCAGCCTTGGATTCGGGAGTACCATTTGTGGTTGGTTTTGAGTCGAGAATCTGTGAGACTGGTGGTTTAGACTGTGGAGTAGGTGAACTTGGTTTAGGCTCAGGAGAGACCAGTTTAGGAGTCTTGGGATCAGGTGTTGGGCTCGCAGCAGGTTTTTGTTCAGGAGTGCCAACTTTAGCTGGTGTGGGTTCAGGAGTAGGTGAAACTGCTGGTTTGGCATCTGGCGTAACGGCTGGTTTTGCATCAGGAGTTGGTGTTACTGCTTTTGGAGGTTCAGGGGTTGGACTTGGAATTGGTTTAACTTCAGTTGTTGGTTTCATATCAGGTGTCACAGGTTGCTTGGGTTCTGGTGATGGGCTTAAGGTCGGTTTTGTTTCAGGTGGTGGTGAGATGGTCATTTTCGGTTCAGGTGTAGCAGCGGGTTTGGGTACAGGTGTTGGTGTGACCGCAGGCTTGGGTTTAGGTTCAGGCGTTACTGGTGGTTTGGGTTCGGGAGAAGGTGGTGGAGGAGCAGTCGACTTGGCCACAGGTGCTGGTTTTGGAGGTGAGGGGGCTGTCTTTGACTCTGGAGTTTGGTTGGGAACGGCTTTGACATCAGGGGCAGCAGAGGAACTCAATACATCAGAATCTGCTAAGGCTGCTGTTGGGGCATCAGTGTCACTGTCAAGCGGGAGCCCAGTGGTATTAAATCCCACTCCAGAGTCACTGGTCTCCATGTTCCTCTCTTGAAGGCTTGGCTCTTTAGTAGACACCTCCAAACCCTGAGGAACATACACATAACTTAGCGTTCCTAGAGCATTTTCACAACATTCAACATAATTCAGCATTTTATATAGAGCAAATGCTTGGGGTTTAGATATACAGATGTCTTTTAGCTTCCTGGTGCTCACCTTAATGCTGACCTCTGTGCTCTGTGATTTCTCAGTGATGTCTTCTTTCTGTGACAGGGCCGGGGCTTCCTCATTCTGATGGGTACAGGCATCTTTGACAACCTGCAAAAAATATGAGCAAAGTGCTTAGTGAGTTAAACTTTTTTCTTTCTCCTTTCATGTTGGAGAAGACAAGAAATACAAATGTGAAGCATAAGGCAAATGTTTGTACTTTACATTTCTTACATATTGACACTTATAAGTGTGGACACTTATATAATTATTCAAGTAATTTAATATATTGTAACTTTTTTTGCCATACAATATTCACAGAAATATCCCATTCCCTTTTGGCTTTGACCATTTTCACCTTTCATACAAACACATCATAATAAAGATTGATAAATAAAAATGAAAACTGAAATGAGCCTCATTTGTTTGGAGATGGCACTTATTTTGTATCTTATATTTCGCATCTAATGCAATGACATTAGTATAAGTCCAAATACTGTTTAAGGCCACTGAATATTCAATTGTTTTTATTCACATTTTGGTGGTAAGATAGGTGGTAAATACCTGTCTGAAGGCATCTCCCTCCACTTTGCCTGCATTCTGGGCTTTCTCCTCAATGGCTCTGGCCTTTGCTGCACGTTTGCGTATCTTCACCAAACATGACACCAAGCACACCAACAGCAGCAGCACCAACAATGCTACCAGAACAATGATGGCAATATAGAGTTTTGGAAGCCTGTACGCTGAGTGAGGAAGATAGACATAATTATGTCCAAAACATGAAAGTTAAATTAACTATTCATTTCATTTCCCTTTGTCACATTGTATGTCCTCACGTTCTATCTCCAGGTGGACATCAGACACCAGGAACCCCTGATGGTCAGTCACACTGAAAACTCCGGCATCGCTGGCCCTCACATCCGTCAGAAGACACAAAGAATCCTCCAAAGAGAGACGACCCTCAAGATCCACGTTAGGAGGCACGCTGAGCTCTCCGTTATCCATAATCAAATACTTATGTTTATCAGACTGAGGGATGTACAGAAGGCGAGCTAAAGAGCTATTCATGTGCAGGTTTATTTTCAGAGTGCCACCGTATGAAAGGGTCGCAAATATCTGATGTGCTGGTAGAAAGAAAGAAGGAAGGAGAAAAAGAAGGAAAGCTGTTACTAGAGCTGAGATGATGTCACGAGAGCAAAGAAAGAAGAAAAAGAATCGGCAGGGAGGAGAACGCATAAATATTTTAGGGAATAAATGCTGCAGGCAGAAAATGACAGACTCTATTCCATTTTTGTACTTGAGTCTAGAGTCTCTCTTCCTCTTTTTGTACTTCCCCTACTATCCTTTCTTGTTATGTTTTATAACGTACCTGAAGAGTTCTCCACTGACTGTACACTTTTAAAAATAAAAGTTATTTATTGGCATCAATGGTTCCAAGGAGAACTTTTAACATCTATGAAAGCTTTCCACCAAGTTCTTTATCGTGGAAAATAATTCTTGTTCTTTACCATTAAATGTTCTTTACACTGGTTCTTTTAAGAACTGTTCACTGAAAGATTTTTTGGTGAACCCAAAATGGTTCTTGTATGGCATTGCTGCAAAACACCACCTTTAGAAGCTTAATATTTAAGAGTGTATATTACATACAAATATATATGTAATACAAATATATATGTAAGGTATATTTCACACCTTTTTCACACGTTTTTGGCTCTCAGAATACCAAGAGTTTTTGTATGATGAACATTAAACTGTTTATTTGTCCATTGTCCCTGACAAAATTCTCCTACACTAGTTTCATATATCTCACATCATTCTGCGGCCTCTTGCTCTTCATGAAATCAAATAATATCACCACAAATCAATACTTCCATTTATTTATAGACATGTAATGTGCGGGAAAATATACAGCTATTTGGTTATTAGTGCAAAATAAATCTCATCAGAATGATACAAGACCCTTCTACTTCACACAGTGGTCCTATTCGCAGCCTTTGGGTTTATTTTTAGCTGATTTATTTTATTATCCTTCACATATTTTATTTCTCCTTCAAAATGTCCTCCATAGCTAATCATATATTAATATTGTATCAAAATTACAATTACAAATTATTGCTGTACTTGTTTTAGTCAGAAGGTCAGGATTAGGACATTAATATGTTATTTGAAAATAATATAAGTGCGTGTTTTCCCTTCTCTCTTCTTCCCACTCTCACCTTTCACGTTCAGGCAGATCTTCTTCTGGACTTTCCCAATGGAATCACTAAAGGTGTAACTGCCTTCATCAGCCCCAGTAACGGCACGCAAAGTGAACTTTTGAGGAGTGATCTCAACGCGGTCCTGGTAATTCTCCTTGGGCGTTCCATCAGCATTCAGCAGTTCATCAGCCGGCAATGACGTCTGATTGGCCTCCACGGTGCTGTGGCGAAAGCCCACACGCACTGGCTCCGAGATATCATGCAGCGATACATGAAAATCTAAGCCGTACCTAACAATGACCTCACTAGAGCAATCTGGAAAAATGAGAGAGAGAAAGGAGAGGAACACATGAGATAAATGAGATGTGGAACTTGCCCTGCCTTTGAAAAGTATACTGTATGAACTTACTATTAGATAAACTACTATACACTGAAATTAACCTAATGTAACATGAACAATTGCTAGTTCTAAATACATCAGCTGTCTGTACTCCCCATTAAAATTGGTATTTTGGTCTGTCCCATGTCAGATGTAGATGCTAGACCTTCTCGACTGTATCCAACAAAATCAATACAGCGTAATGTTTTGACATCTTCCAATGAATTGACATTCAGTTCATTTTAGTAAAGCAAATTTTAATTATTAAATTTAAACCCCACATTTTGGAACATCTTTCTACAGTATTATGAGAAGTAAATCATTAAATTCCATTTTCCACATTTTTGTAGTTGGTCAAGTAGAACCATCAACCTTGTTTCCAAAAGTTTTTGTAAGAAATTGTGAAATTAATATTTTCTTTTAATTATGGGAAATATACGTTTAGCAGTAACTACAAACCAGCATATAATGAATGACAGTTTTGCTATATTCTTTTTAATTTAATCTATTTTATCTGTTTAATTTGAATGTTTATCTAATGTTTATTAGAAAAAAAAGACATAGAAAATAAACAGAAAATAAAACAGTTCATATCACGAGCTCAGTTTGACTTTCCTAAGTGCTTCCTTTCTCTGACTAATTGTTGAAAGAAAAAAGGCCAAGTGCCATTAAGCACAGCTGATAATGGAAGAAACAGATAGTTGGGTAGAGAGCAAGAAGGATCTTTAGGTAGAGAAGAACGGAAGGCAACCAGTGTGGCTTGACAGAGCTACAATTACTGCAGCAGGTCATTAAACCTCCCTTACTGTTCACCACATGACTTCCTATAATAATGGAAGTCACTCAGAGCTATTCTAGTGCGCATGTGTGCGCATCCAATTTAGTGTACAAGCTGCTGTACAAAATGAGCAAACAATTTTTTGGTAAATTATGCAGTACCTCTAACATAGAGTGTGATGTGTGTAACGTCCTCTGGATTTTGGTTAGATGTGACGGTGTAGACTCCTTCATCACTTTCTCCAACATTCTCCAGGATCAGGTGGCTCGAAGCAGAGTTGAGTTTGGCACGGAGATCCACCACCTTCCCAGCACTCATCAGCGGCTTCTCACGACCTGGGACAATCGAAGGCCTGAACGTGACGTCAGCTCCATCGGCCGGCACGAGGATGTGGAAGTCTTCCCCAAAAAACAGAGTCTGAGACATCTCTTGGGCTACAAGAAAAACAAAGATATATATATATATATATATATATATATATTATTTTTTTATGTTAATATAGGACCATATCTTACATAGACATTAAGGGGACCTCCACACCAACTACCAAATAAAAAATAATAATAATAATAATTTAATTTAAATGCAGCCGTTACCCCGAAAACCCTGTAAACAAAGCAGCTGCACTACTTTCTGTTTCTGAAAG